GAAAATACAATTTCACACTCATAAAACACACAACATGGGGTGGGGAACAGTGGATAAGACCCTGGTTCGATTCGCCCTGTGACATCTACCAAAGTATCCCTGAGCTAGACACCTAACTCCTAGTTGCTCCAGAGGCATGCAACCTCTGACATGTAAAGCAATTTTAAGTCGCTTTGGTTAAAAGCGTCAGCTAAATGACAATAATAATAATAATAATAATAATAATAATAATAAACACCAAAGACATACATACACATCCGAGTAAGCTTTTGTTTGATGGTTTGCAGTTTAATAATCTTGACATTTATATTATTATATTTCAAAATGAAGCAAGTTCTAAATGTATGTCAAATGTTGTAATTGAAATATGCTTATAAGTAACCTATTAAAACAAAAATGGTTGTAAGTAACCTAGACATGTCACATTATAACCAAACGTATTTGTAAACCAGATTTTTAAAATATCTTTTCACCTGTAATTAATCTAATCAGTGCTTACATACACCAGGGTTCAACATCATGTTTTTTTCACTTGCACAGCAAGTCAGAAATCAACTTGTAATTGTCATGTTAATCTTTATTTAAAGGTGCAATGTGTGAGAATTTAAGAGATTTATGAGTTCAAAATTTCAGCATCAACAGAATGTGAAGTAATAGGAAGAGTATGGTATGAAAGTATGTTATGTCAAAGACATCTATGTATTGTATTTCTTCTAAAGCTAGCATGCTAAAGAGATAGCCCCATTCCTGTCATGGTATTACATGACAGGACAGGACAGAATCACATCTAGTACCTCTAGATGTGATTATCTGATATAGCTGTGTGTGAACAGCGAGTTTGCTCTCTTAGGCCATCAAATTAAAACCATGAGCTGAAATATACTAAAATGCTCCGCTGAGCTGAAGGCAACTGCTATGTCGAGTGATAATTCTCTATATTCATCACTTCGAGTGACCAATTAAACAACAAAACTTTTATCCATTGTCATGATAAAAAAATTTATGATTATAGCTTCTTCAATAAATTAATTATTTGTTCTTTTTAATTTAAGTATTTCATAATGGCCAAGTCTAATTGTCCGAAAACCCAAATATATTCAATTTACAATGATACAAAACAAGGAAAATAGCAAATCCTCACATGAGCACCAGAGAATATTTGCCATTTTTCTACAAAAAACTATTATCAAGATAGTTTTCAAATGACTAATCAACTATTCTTGTAGCTCTAGTCCCTGCATTTCTGAAGTAAAATATGCGCAGCTCTTGGTAGGATGTGTGCACCCCCCATTCATTTTCAGGAACTCAACAAGTTAAGTCTGAATGTGTAAACTCAAGTGAGAGTCGGAACTAATACCCTACTTCTTCACTGGTCTGTCTCCAGTCCCCTGCTTCTGTAAGAGTTATGGCACAGATTTCAGTTAAGTGGCTCCCTCATCTCTGTGCTATATTATGGCAATACTATGCTTTTGTCACCAGGGGAAAGGGGTTAAAACGGTGTACCTGTCACTGTAACAGGCTGATTATTGCCAGTGGAGCTGGCAGGCTTGTGAGGATCGCTCCCCTCCCCACACTCCCTGCTGGGAGAGAGGCCTGGGGCCTGTGCTCACCGAGGCTGAATGACTCACAATTACCGAAGCGACAGAGCCTGCAGCCATCTCCCATTCTCTCCAGCCGTTTCACTGACTCACTTAGCACACATGACAAATGACAAAATCACCCTGAACCTCCGCCCCCTCACTAAGACCTGATTGCCCATCGCCCACACTTTGCCTACAGTACTTAAAGCTTGGATACATCTTGCCAAGATTTGTGAAACAAAACAAACTTGTTCTCGTCTTTCAAAGCAGCATTTTACTGTGTTACACTATGTAAATGATTTAACGTGCGTATTTTAGTATGACCTAGTGAACATTTGACGTTACAGCTACAACCCTGGAAAAACTCTGCTGGTGCAAATTTTTTAACTCATCAAAACACTTCTTTAATGTTACAACACTGGTCACTGAAAAAAGACATATTATTTGTGGGGCATCATCAAAGGATGACTTCTTGGCCTGTATTTTGAATATGAAAGCAAGAGAGTGGTATGAATACCCAAAGCAGACAACATTAGAGCTTAACTGTTAACAAAACAGTGTCGGGGGATGCATGCTAAAATGGGAAAATGTTCCACTAAAGGGAAGCAATGCATTAATCTTTTGGCACTGTGAAAACAACAGTGAACTCTGGTGTTTTTCTACACCATTTCAACTTGCTTACACTGCATAAGTCAAAGTGGGAGGTGCGCTGATAGTTAAATCTTACACCTCATATACTCCCCCTAGTTAAATGCAGAGTGGCGAGAGAGTTGTAGCAGTATGCAGTTTTTCAAAATGGAGTGAATATTTAATGATGAAAACTATGTGCTATGCTGCTGTGTAATGTGTGACCTCTGTGACCTTAGAAATGAATTGTTCACAGGATCTCCTGGTGTTTGAAAACATGCAAATAGTACATAGAAAGCGATACTACAAGCTACTTATGAGAACATTTACCTGCAAAAATGTAACCTCAGTTGTATTTAAAGGCATCGTGGTGGTTTGGTGTGTTCTCTCACTGCCCTGGCTCAGTTTTTTCTTCTACTTTCGGAGCCATATTAAGCTCATTTTAACATTTGTCTTTGACAATGAGACTGCACACCGAATCTGACACCTCCAGCAGTGCCAGACACTTAAATCTTCTGTTCAGCAATAGCACAATGCTCACTTCATCTCTCCTCCTGCAGCCGGGCCTCTCAGTCTCTCTAATGAAGACTGTGCAAGAGAGGGAGGGGTGCCTTGCTCAATATGTAAGCTACAACAAAGCATACTGCAATATGTTTTTGCTCAGATACGAATGTTGGCACCATCTGAGAGTCACTCTAGACAAGCGGTGCTGGCAAAATGATCAGGATCTTAAAAGCAAGGGGCAGTTTCATAGAAATCAAAAGTGAAATATTTTTCAAGAACCCTAAAGGGCCTTTTTGTAGGACACTGCAGGGGCTCTTAAGTGCTATCCAGGAAGCCAGACAGAGTGCTACCCTCTGTGCCCAGCAGTCTCCAGCTTATTGAAGAACAGAAATCAAACACAAACTAGTGCATTTGTCATCAAAGTCATCCAGCCTGGCCTCTGAAAAAACAAAGATACATTTGAAAAAATTAAAATCAATATGTCTTTGACTCCTCCAAATATTTGTTTATTATTAATGAGTTTGGGATTCTCAAAGAACCTATCAGAACTATCTAATTCAAGAGGAAGGAGTCCTTGTCAAGACAGTTATCGGCCCCCGTGGGGGAGGCTGAAGGATCTGAGCGCCAGTGTAGCGTAGCAGCAGACAGGTAACTAGAGGAGAGGGCGTCTGGCCTTTAACACCCCGGAGGTAATAGGGCCAGATTAAAGGAAGAGTGGAGTCCTCTCATCTGAGTCCAAACACCCGACCACAACCACATCAGCGGGAATCCTCGCAAGGCAGTTGAAATGCGATACACATTGTTATGAAAGGAAATACGTGTTTTTAGAGAGACAGAAAATCAATATCGCTGACTGACTACGGTGCAAGTGAACAAATCTGAGAGAGCTTGAAAAACCTGCATAAAATGGAATAAAAATGAGTCAGACTTAATAATCCTGACTAAGCCTGTATAAGGAAGCCCTGGCAGTCAAGACAGTAGATGGATCAGAGCACAGACAGGAATGCATGCATTATGCATCATTGTAAAATCTCTCTGGGTAGAGAGCGCACACACACAAACTTATCCCAGCGTTCGCATTTGCATCACTTATTGTTCACGTTTACCACATTTCAAAATTCACAAACGACTTGTGTGTCTGTGTGTGTTCTCCACTGCCAAATCCAAAGGACATAACAACACTGGATACTTCCACGGCACATTAGACAGAAGCTACCTGTTAATAGATCATTACCGTTGAATAATTACCCATTTCTTTGCTCTCCCATTCACACACTTTTCACAAAGCCATTGCTGAGCACAGCAGCACTATCTTATCTCCCTCGCTTCTCTTCCCCTCCCCTCAGTTGATGTTAACATCTGACAGCTTTGTGTGTGTGCCGATACAGATTTTTTTCTTTAATTAAAACACTGGAAGTCTTAATTGGACATTACACTTTATTCTTTCCCCCCTACTTGCCCACCTCCCCTTCCTCAAACACTTTGATCCTCCAACCAAATCTTTCGAGGCAATAATAGTTTCCCTTGTGCTCAAACTTACACTGCAGTGGTTAAGAAGCAAAAAGCTGACTTTAAAACAGTTTCTCTCTTTAAGATTTTATATAAGAATAATATCTCTCCAGTTAGATGCTCTTTAAGTGACATTTTCTGACTTTGTTCTATTGAATATAGAAATGACTGTAAGCAGTTAGCATGAATCCTGCTCCATTGGGTGCTTCCCAACAATTTGCAAGTGCATAAATCAGCCCCCTGTTAGAGAAACAACTTTAGAATAGAATTTCTTAATGACGGGGCTTTATGGTTTTACAGGATTATGGCCTTTGTAGAAAATTGTCTACCCTCAGAAATATTGATTAAACTGCCCAAGCCTTCAGGAGTAACATGCTTTATGTGAATTCAGTTTTGGTGTGGATTTTATGTTTGAATTTGTTCTTTGATCCCTCTGGCCTCACCAGTAGCTCAAAGGAGGGATATGAGCCCATTACTAGTGAGCTTAGGGAATTACATCGGCTTTGTGAAAACTAGACATAAAGGAGTATTTTCTCTCACAGCCGAGGTAAACAAAAGAATGTAATAATAGCAATACCTGTGAAATTTAAACCATTTATTTATATATTTAACATTGACAGAATGTCACAGTTACTACCACTAGAAGTATGAACTGTAAATTGCGTATCGATTAAACCTTTAATTTGGTTTCTGTCCACATTTCTTTCTACCCTGTTAATAACTGCATGTTTTCTTTCTCTATTTTCTTCTTCCATCCCCACCTCCACCTATTCCTTCTAGGTGGCCCTGGGTCAAGAAGACCACTCCTCCAGCCCCAAGACCTCTTCAGATGACTCCTCCAAGACACTGGGCCTCATGAGCGGGCAGGCTTCCCTCTCGCCCTTGAGCCGCTGGATGCTTCATAGTAAGAGCAGAGCTGCTAATGCCACCTCTCTGGAACTGCCCTACCGCTCTCCGGTCCCTTTCTCCAAGCAGGAGTTTTCTAAACAGGAATTCTGGGAGATGTTGGGCAGCGACCTGCTCAAACCCGACGCCTCCAGCTCCAGGGTCAAACGAAGGCCCATCGTTAAGACCGGCAAGTTCAAGAAGATGTTTGGCTGGGGAGACTTCTATTCCAATATCAAGACGGTTAGGCTTAACCTGCTGATCACCGGCAAGATTGTGGACCACGGTAACGGCACGTTTAGCGTCTACTTCCGCCACAACTCCACAGGCCAGGGCAATATCTCAGTCAGCCTGGTGCCACCTGTCAAGGCGGTTGAGTTTGACCTGGAGCGCCAGAGCGTGGTCTACCCCAAGGACTCAAAGATCTTCAACTGCCGCGTGGACTATGAGAAGGTGGATCGCAGCAAGCGCACCTCGCTGTGCAACTACGACCCATCCAAGACCTGCTTCCAGGAGCAGATTCAGAGCCACGTGTCCTGGATTTGCTCCAAGCCTTTCAAGGTCATCTGTATCTACATTTCCTTCTACAGTACGGACTACCGCCTAGTCCAAAAAGTTTGCCCGGACTACAACTACCATAATGAGATGCCCTACCTGCCCTCGGGCTAGGAGACATGTAGGGGGGAGGAGAGGTGGGAGGGGAGAGGAAAAGGGGGATGAGTAGGAGTGACTACAACACATGAGGAGGAAACCAGGGCTGTGAATCGTCCTTAATGCCATTGTGGCAGCAAGACACCTTAAAAAAACCTTCTCTGTAGCCTGACTACTGTAAGATGTAAAAACATATATGCAAAACACAAACCACAGTATGCAGATAATGAGGCATTTGGAATGCTTAACTGCAGCATTCATTAACTGGACTGGTAGTGAAAATCAAATATCGCCAACACGCACATTCTTACCTCAAACCAGTTTCTAAATGCCATCTTCTCGCCAGCTATTTCTCTCTTCCATTAAATCATTTGTGAATGTTGTCTGAATGTCCTTTTAATCACCCTTTACAATATTACTCTTTTGCAAAGTCACAAGGCACTATTTTCAGTGAAAGCACGCATTTAAATGCTGTGATATGATTCACTGGAGAGTTATATACAAATTCAGAATTTATTACAAACATCATACAGTGGTAAACATCGTACACTGCAAAGGCAAAACCAGTACTGATTTAAAACTTACCAGAGGGAACACAAAGCATTGTTTATCCTCACAAAGAGCAGGTGAATATACAGTGTAACCAACCCCAGGATAACTTATTTTACACTCAAAGTCTTTTAAAGGGCATCGTCCATCCCAGAAAAACGTTTAAAGTTCCTCTTACTAATTTTCTCATCCTGTCCACATACTCACGTTGAAGCATCCCACCATGGCACTGTCAATGTGTAGTGTTTACTTTTCCAGTCTGCCAAATCTAATCACACTATATCTCTCAGTTATGTCACCTGCATTTTAATAAAAGAAGGAACAGAGGGAGAGAGAGAGAGAGAGAGAGAGAGAGAGAGGAGAGAGAGAGGAGAGAGAAAATAATAAAATTTGCTAGAAAAAGCAATTGCTCAACACAGATTTAGGGCCAGGACTTAAGACAAGTTCATTGTAAGGGAAATAACTAGATTCTGCATAGATATAGAATTGGCCCTCCACACTTATGAGAGAGAGAGAGAGAGAGAGAGAGAGAGGTGGGGGAGTGAGAGAGGGAGAGATTCAGTGAGCTGTTTTAATTAAAGTGGAGAAGGAGACGTAGAGTTTGCAGCTCCTTCTATTGTCCCCTCTGTATGAAAAAGATTACATTTTGTTGCCGTCAGGATTCCTGATTTCACGCCTTGATAACTTTGACTGTGTGAGGGAGATTGCTCTCTCCCGACAAATACTGTGTTCACTAAAGTTGGCCCGTTATCTTGAATAAATGAAAATATTATCATAATAATTACATATAATTTAATCTCCTTTAGAACTAATTAAGGTTTCAACGAGGGGGAGAAATGTATTCCTAAAAATCAAGTCAGTGGGTAGGAGGATAAGAGGACGTTCATGGGGATTGTGTTTTTGCGAGGAGTCGGCAGCCAAAGCTCAGCCCAGAGTTAACTGCTCTCATTAAGATAAATGGCCACTGGCTGGCCCATCTCATGTTGCTCTCACAAACAATATCAGTGGAGAGCAGCGCACAATGGAGCTATGAATTAGGTAGCCTGACATTTTGTGTGAGAGGTTATTGCTGTCCTGCTTATGAGGACACAATGACTTTTCAGTTCATTAACGATGAACAGCCACAAGACAGGTGTGAAGTCATTAAACAGTGATATCAGATAACCAGTTTGATGCTAATGTGCTGTGATATCAGGGATGTAGCCAAGATCTGTGCACACTTGGCTGGAACTGCGCAGCGGTGTCCCTGGTGGACCTGTTTAGGGGTGAACAGCCATCATGAAGCCATCCTCCTGTGGGGAGTAGCATAAGGCTGGACATAAATGCATTGCCTTGGCTGCTCTGTGTGAGCTTGGAGAGCATGAGTAAGAGGGGGAACACAGTCACAGGGCTAAAGATAGTAACAAAGACCTGTAAATCTGCACATCAAAGCTCTGAGTTTTTAATTTACTCTTAAAGAGGGGGGTAGGGCTATGAAATCAACTTGTGGCCCAGAGCAAATGGCAGCAGTGCACAAACAAGTCTGCAGGGGACAGACAGCTACACCACATGCACCAATGATAAAGGCTGTTCATCTGGCTAAGTCATACCTCTGTCTCCTCTTGCATGTGATTGTTTTATTGAAACAGATTTTTTTACATGTACTGTCTTGGCTGCTTGCTTTGCGTGATGACAACACATGTTATCTGTCTGGCTCGCCCTTACCATAAGTGTCTCACAATCAACAATCCTCACAGAGAGGATTTTCCTAAAGAGGCTACCAGCAATCAGAGTGCCAACAATGAGAAAGCTTGTGGAGACCGTCTGATTTCTGCCACTTCATAGTAACTGATTATGCAGTATTTATTTGAAAGCATAGGAGAATGGAATATAGATCTAGGTTTGGCAGCAACTGAAACTAAACTCCTGACACTTGTCTGAAGGTCTTTGTCTTTACTGCTGCATGAAATGCATATCAACCAGCATGAATGAACCACTGCCTCTTGCTCTGTTCATCCATTTCCACATCCTCCAGCTCTCTCTGCACCTTTCCCCTTCAGGATGTCAGCATGTTACTCAACCATATGCCCCTCTGTTTTCACGCTGTTGTCCTCTCCCTGTGTGTGACCCAGCTGACTGGGCCTAGCCTCCCTACCCTCTCTACCTCCCTTACCCTGGCGTTGAACCCTGCTGTGGGTAGTTCCTCATTGCTTCCCCGCCCGCCCTCCTGCGCACAACGCTGAGCTGAGCTGGCTAATCTCTTTGAGCTTAATGCAGAGCCAACTGAACATCAACAGTGAGAACTCCCCTCTCTCCTTCTCTATCTACCTATTTCTCTCTATATCTATAGCCCATCAAACAAATGTGTGTGCACACACAGTCTTAAGATGTGCTGGTTTAGGTATTTTCCTCTCTCCTGTTCAAAGCATCTTACATAAGCCCCTGGATTGTGAGGACACGAAATCTCCTCGAGAGCAGGCCAACGGAGTGCCCGACACAGATACGCCCCAGTAACCTCAATACATAACCTCCCTCCTGCAGGGCGTCCAGAGAGAAGTTGGATACTTACACATGTTGAAATCAAAGCTGTGCCCATAGCACTGAAGTCATGTAGAAAAAAACAAGGACCAATCTTGGACTACCTGCTGGGAAGAAGCCCCTCACTCTGCTCCTTACCGATCCTCTCAGATTTACAGCAATACTCTCATTGAGACTTCACCCTCTCCGCCTCTCGGGGGTGAGTTAAAGAAAGGCTGCTGGACTACATTTAAGAGACAGTCATGTTGCTGTGCCATGGGTGGTGTTGTTACGACAGCAGCCTTACTGTTGACCCATCTAGTGCCAACAGACATGTGGATATTTGGCCTTAGAGACTGCAAGACAACACTGGTCCACTCAGCAAAGAATAGTAACAAAACCAGACTGTCAAAAACATAAATATACATATACATATATATACATATATATATATATATATATATATATATATATATATATATATATATATATAAAAGCTAAGAGTCCTCAGATCTGAATAAAGTTGTATTTAAATGTGGGTCATGCAGTGGAGGTTGTCAGTTTTATCTTTTTGTTCCTGATGGTTTTGTTTCTCTATGTCATGTGGATGATATACTGTATGGATGATATGATGGCATTTACTGTGGTTTTCAACATTCTAAAAATCAATAAAGTACACAGAAGTACTTAAACCACTTCAGTTGTAGAGAGACAGACTCCAATCTTATATCTGGTTGTGCTTCATGTGTAGGAAGAGTGTGTCAACAATGCTGAAATCTCTATTTTCTCATATTTGCATACCCATACTGTGTGCCAACGGCAAAGAAAAGATGTGACAATTTTTTTGCTGCGGGCTCTTGCAGAAAAACATGCAGAGAGAGAAACAGAAGGAGAATACCGAGCAGAGAGGAAAATGGGGTTTTAGAGAGAGAGGAAGGAAAGGTTTCTGGAATGATGCATGAACATAACTCAATCCCCTAATTAGCCTCCTCTTTCTTTTTTCTCCACTATCTCACTCTTGGTTTCTTTGTTGTTCATCTTCACACTCCCCGTTCATTTTAAGATGTAATTGACATTAAATTCATTCTACTTCTTAATTAAATCCCAGACAACTGTTAACGAGGGGATGGTTTCAAACATTCAGCTCACAACATCCCTTTAAACAAGATCGATTAAGGCATGGCTGGCGGCAAAGCCAGGCCTTCCACCCCCCTACGCCCCGTTGTTCCCATAAAAGTGCTGCCTGCCTCAGGATAACCTTGCCGGAGATGATGAAAGGGAAGCAAATAAGTCAACATGGAGACAGAAGAATAGAAATCTAATTTGGAAGAAAGCAGGAGTGAGGTTAATGTGAAATCTGTGAGAGCAGCACACTGGGTCAAACATGCACATGAACACACATACTGCTACACGTGCACAGATACACACAGAGGGTGGAAACTGCAGGCAACAATCATTGATAATGGACATAAGGATTTACAAGAAGAACAGAGGCTTTTGGTTGTCCAGGAAGAGAAGACTATTCAAGAGTGTGAGCTTCTCAGAGAGGAAAGGGCATTTCAGCATGAGTAATGGGAAGCTGGACAATAGTCAATTGAGAAAATAACTAGTCATGGCATGAGAAGGCGGGAGAAGGCGTGTAAAGCTTAAAATGATAAATCGACATTCAGAAAAATAACCTTGAGGTATAAAAAACATGTGTCCGGAAAATCTACACAATGTGTCTACACAAGAGACCAGGAAAGTGAGACAGAAGGGATTGCACTGATTCTTGTTAGCACTACAAGGCTATCAGGTTTGCAAGTTAATCCTGTAGTAGAGTAATAATTATGTTTCCTTTTCCTCTATGACATGTTACACGATAAAGTGTAGTATTGCTCTGGTGGCAGATATTGCACTCTGCAACATCATCCCCTCACTAAAGTTGTTGACAAAGTCGAAGCACAACCACGGCGCTCTCATTTCTTCACACTTTGAAATCATCAACGAGGATTAGATTTGTATACCAGTTTGATGATATTCAGAACCAGAGTGATACTGAGGTCTTATTAAAAACCTGATTTCATCAGTCATCTGTAACTAATATGATACAGGTTTCCCCCTGACGACAGCCACATTAAAGCAGCCTGTAAACCCTGCAATGAGGATAATCTTCTTGGCATAATTCAGTTTTTTAATCTATTTTTGTAAATTATTTCTTCACTTAAAGGACTACTGTATCCCCAAATCTCTTCTTATACAGAATAGGTGTGTCGGGTCAGCCTGCTAACCCATCTGAAAATTTCATTAGTCTGGGGTTTCAGAGATTTTTGTGTCTCATTATGGTGTAAATGTGGTT